CCTGCTGAATAAACACATCCCAGTGCAGTTAGTCAGTGAGTAACCCTCACCCTGCTGAATAATCACATCCCAGTACAGTTACACATCAAGTGGCCCTCACCCTGATGAATAAACAGATTCCAGTGCAGTTAGACAGTGACTAACCCTCATCCTGCTGAATGAACACGTCCCAATACAGTTACACAGTGAGTGATCCACACCTTGCCGAATAAAGACATTTAGGGGAGGCAATGACCTGGTGGTACTATCTCTGGACTGTTAATCCAGAGACCCACACAACATTCTGGGGTTAAAATTGTTTCAGAGATAGTAGGAACTGCAGATGCTGGAGAATCTGAGATAACAAGATGTAGAGTGGATGAACCAAGCAGTATCAGAGGAGCAGGAAGGCTGACGTTTCGGGCCTAGACTCTTCTTCAGAAATGGGGGAGGGGAAGGGGGTTCTGAAATAAATAGGGAGAGAGGGGGAGACGGATAGAAGATGGATAGAGGAGAAGATAGGTGGAGAGGAAACAGACAGGTCAAAGAGGTGGGGATGGAGCCAGTAAAGGTGAGTGTAGGTGGGGAGGTAGGGAGGAGACAGGTCAGTCCAGGGAGGACAGTCAGGTCAAGGGGGCGCCTCCCCTTCTCTCCCTATTTATTTCAGAACCCCCTTCCCCTCCCCCATTTCTGAAGAAGGGTCTAGGCCCGAAACGTCGGCCTTCCTGCTCCTCTGATGCTGCTTGGCCTGCTGTGTTCATCCAGCTCTACCCCTTGTTTTCTAACATTCTGGGGACCTGGGTTCGAATCCCGCCACAGCCGATGTGGAATGTGAATTCAATAAAAACATCTGGAATTAAGAATCTAATGATGACCATGAATCCATTGTCAATTGTTGGAAAAACCACCTGGTTGACTAATGTCCTTTAGGGAAGGAAACTGCTATCCTCACCTGGCCTATATATGACTCCAGATCCACAGCAATGTTGTTGACTCTGAGCTGCTTTCTGGGCAATTAGGGATGAACAATAACTCCTGCCTCGCCAGTGACTTCCTCATCCCGTTAATGAATAAAGGAAAAATAAAGTACATTTTCGCAGTGAGTGACCCTCATCCTGCTGAATAAACGCATCTCAGTATAGATACACAGTGAGTGACCCTCCAAACAAAAGGAAAAAGGAAGCATTTATCGAGGCTGGGAACACACGAAGCAAGGGTGGAATACAAGGAAAGTTTAAAGAAATTTAAGCAAGGAGTCGGGAGGGCTAAAAAGTGTCATGAAAAGTCATTGGCCAACAGGATTAAGGAAAATCCCAAGGCTTTTTATACATATATAAAGAGTAAGAGGGTAGCCAGGCAGAAGGTTGGCCCACTCAAGGACAGGGAAGGGAATTTACGTGTGGAGCCAGAGGAAATGGGTAAGGTATTAAATGAGTACTTTGCATCAGTATTCACCATAGAGAAGGACTTGGTGGATAATGAGTCTGGGGAAGGGTGTGTAGATAGTTTGGGTCATGTTGATATCAAAAGGGAGGAGGTATTGGGGGTTTTGAAAAGCATTAAGGCAGATAACTTCCCAGAGCCTGATGGGATATACCCCATAATACTGAAAGAGGCAATAGAGGACCCAGAGGATTGGAGAATAGCTAATGTTGTTCCTTTGTTTAAGAAAGGTGGCAAGGATAATCCACCTAATTACAGGCCTGTGAGCCTTACATCAGTGGTAGGGAAATTATTGGAGAGGATTCTTCAAGACAGGATTTACTCCCACGTGGAAATAAGTGGGCATATTAGGGAGAGGCAACATGGTTTTGTGAAGGGGAGGTTGTGTCTCACTAACTTTGTTGAGTTTTTTGAGCAAGTGATGAAGATGATGGATGAGAGTAGGGCAGTAGATGTTGTCTACATGGACTTCAGTAAGGCCTTTGACACGGTCCCTCATGGCAGGCTGATACAGAAGGTAAAGCTGCACGGGGTCAGAGGTGAGCTTGCAAGACGGATAAAAAACTGGCTCAGTCATAGAAGACAGAGGGTAGCAGTGGAAGGGAGCGTTTCTGAATGGAGAGCTGTGACTAGTGGCGTTTCTCAGGGATCAGTGTTTGGACTTTTGCTATTTGTAATATATACAAATGATTTGGAGGAGAATGTAACTGGTTTGATTAGTAAGTTTGCCGCTGACACAAAGGTTGGTGAAATTGCGGATAGTGATGAGAACCTTCAAAGGATACAGCAGGATATAGATCGATTGGTGACTTGGGCATAGAGATGGCAGATGGAGTTTAATCTGGAAAAATGTGAGGTAATACACTTTGGAAGTTCTAATCCAGATGGAAAATATACAGTCAATGGCAGAACCTTTAAGAGTACTGAAAAGTGGAGGGATCTGAGTGTACAGATACACAGGTCACTGAAAGTGGATTCACAGGTGGAGAAGGTCATCAACAAGGCATACAGCATGCTTGCCTTCATCGGCCGGGGCACTGAGTTTAAAAATCGGCAGGTAATGTTGCAGCTTTATAGAACCTTAGTTAGGCCGCATTTGGAATATTGTGTTCAATTCTGGTTGCCACACTACCAGAAGGATGTGGTGGCTTTTAGTGGGTAAAGAAAAGATTTACCAGGATGTTGCCTGGTATGGAGGGCGTTAGCTATGAGGAGAGATTGGAGAAACTTGGGTTGTTCTCACTGGAACGACGGGGCTTTAGGGGTGACCTGACAGAGGTCTACAAGATTATGAAGGGCATGGACAGAGTGGACAGTCAGAAGCTTTTTCCCAGGGTGGAAGAGTCAGTTACCAGGGGCCATGGGTTTAAGGTTCGAGGGACAAAGTTTAAAGGTGATGTACGAGGCAAGTTTTTTACACAGAGAGTGGTGGGTGCCTGGAACTTGCTGCCGGGGGAGGTAGTGGAAGCAGATACTATAGTGATTTTTAAAGGGCGTCTTGACAAATACACAATTAGGATGAGAATAGAGGGATACGAGCCCCAGAACAACATAAGAACATAAGAACTAGGAGCAGGAGTAGGCCATCTGGCCCCTCAAGCCTGCCCTGCCATTTAATAAGATCATGGCTGATATTTTTGAGACACAGCTCCACTTACCCGCCCACTCAACATAACCCTTAATTCCTTTACTGTTCAAAAATTTATCTAGCCTTGCCTTAAAAACATTCAGCGAGGTAGCTTCAACCGCTTCACTGGGCAGGGAATTCCACAGATTCACAACCCTTTGGGTGAAGATGTTCCTCCTGACCTCAGTCCTACATCTGTTTCCCTTTATTTTGAGGCGATGCCCTCTAGTCCTAGATTCACCTGCTAGCGGAAACAACCTCCCTGCCTCCACCTTATCTATTCCCTTCATAATCTTATATGTTTCTATAAGATCCCCCCTCATTCTTCTGAATTCCAATGAGTATAATCCCAGTCTACTCAGTCTCTCCTCATAATCCAACCCTCTCAACTCTGGAATCAACCGAGTGAATCCCCTCTGCACCCCCTCCAGTGCTAGTATATCTCTTCTCAAGTAAGGAGACCAAAACTGCACATAGTACTCCAGGTGTGGCCTCACCAGGACCCTATACAGCTGCAGCATAGCCTCCCTGTTTTTAAACTCCATCCCTCTAGCAATGGCAGACAAAATTCCATTTGTCTTTTTAATTACCTGCTGCACCTGCAATCCTACTTTTAGCGATTCATGCACAAGGACACCCAAGTCCCTCTGCACAGCAGCGTGCTGCAATTTTTTACCATTTAAAACATAGTCCATTTTGCTGTTATTCCGACCAAAATGGATGACCTCACACTTATCAACATTTAGGGTAGGGGGTTTTAGTTGTGACGGGCAGCATTTTGGTGCAGGCTGGCAGTGCCGAAGGGCCTGTTCCTGTACTGTAACTATCTTTGTTCGTTGTTCTTGGTCTTCATATACAGCGAGTGACCCTCACCCTGCTAAAAAAAAAATCCCAGTACAGTTACACAGTGAGTGATCCTCATCCTTCCGAAAAAAACACGTCCCAGTGTAGATATACAGTCAGTGGCCCTTACCTGCTGAATAAACACATCCCAGCACAGTTAAAAAGTGAGTGACCCTCACTGTGCTGACTAAACACGTCAGTATAGATACACAGTGAGTGATCCTCACACTGCTGAATAAACACATCCCAGTACCGTTAAACAATGCGGGACCCTCACCCTGCTGAATAATCACATGTCAGTGCAGATACACAGTGAGTGATCCTAACCCTGCTGAATTAGTACATCCCAGGACAGTTCACAGTGAGTGATCCTCACGTTGCTGAGTAAACACATCCCAGTACAGTTACACAGTGAGTGACCCTCACCCTGCTGAATAAACACATCCCAGTACAGTTACACAGTGAGTGACCCTCACCCTGCTGAATAAACACATTCCTGTACAGTTACACAGTGAGTGACCCTTACCCTGCTGAATAAACACATCCCTGTACAGTTACACAGTGAGTGACACTCACTCAGCTGAATAAACACATCCCAGTACAGGTACACAGTGAGTGACCCTCACCCTGCTGAATAAACACATCCCTGTACAGGTACACAGTGAGTGACCCTTACCCTGCTGAATAAACACATCCCTGTACAGTTACACAGTGAGTGACACTCACTCAGCTGAATAAACACATCCCAGTACATTTACACAGTAAGTAACCATTACCCTGCTGAATAAGCATATTCCAGTCCAGTTAAACAGTGAGTGACCTTTACACTGCTGATTAAGCACATCGCAGGGCAGTTACACAGTGAGTGACCCTCACCCTGCTGAACAAACATGTCAATACAGATACACAGTGAGTGACGCTCATACTGCTGAATAAACACATCCCAGAACAGTTACAGGGTGAGTGACCCTCACCCAGCTAAATAAACACATCCCATTTTAGATACAGATATAACACAGTGTGGAGCTGGAGAAACACAGCAGGCCAGGCAGCATTAGAGGAGCAGGAAAGCTGACGTTTTGGGTCGGGACCTTTCTTCAGAAATGGGGGAGGGGGAAGGGAGATCTGTAATAAATTGAGAGAAGAGGGGTGGGGCTGCGGAAGGTAGGTGGGATGGTGATAAGTGAGTGTGGCTAGGCGGTGGTGGAGATTGGTCAGTGAGGTGGGAGAAGCAGATAGGTGGGAGAGAAGATGGAGAGGTTGTGTAAGGTCAAGGAAGCGGGGATGAGAGGGAGGGTTGGTCATGGGGTGAGGCCAATGGTGGGGAGATTTTGAAACTGGTAAAGTCCACATTGAGACCGTTGGGTTGTAGGCTCCCAAGGCGGAATATGAAGTGCTGTTCCTCCAGTTTCCGGGTGGAGTCATTGTGACACGGGAGGAGGCTCAGCATTGACATGTCATCCAGGGAGTGGGAGGGTGAGCTAAAGTGGTTTGCGACTGGGAGGTTGTTGTCAGTTGTTGCGAAGAGAGTGCAGGTGCTCACCAATGTACAGGAGGCCACATCAGGAGCAGCTCCACACTGTGTTATCTCTGACTCCAGCATCAGCAGTTCTTACTATCCCATTTTAGACACACACTGAGTGACCCACACCTCTTGAAAATACACATCCCGGTAAAGTTACACAGTGAGTGACCCTTATCTTTCTGAATAAATACATCCCAGGACAGTTAGACAATGAGTGACCCTCACCATGCTGAATAAACACATTGCAGTACATTAACACAGTGAGCAACCCTCACCCTGCTGCATAAAACCTCACAATGCTGAATAAACACATCCCATTATATTTACTCAGTGAGTGACCCTCACCCTGCTAAATAAACACATTTCAGTACAGATGCACTGTTAGTGACCCTCACCTTGCTGAATAAACACATCCCTATACTGTTACACAGCTAGAGACCCTCACCCTGCTGAATAAACACATCCCTGTATAGTTACACAGCGAGTGACTCTTACTTTGCAGAATAAACACATCCCAGTACAGATACACATTGAGTGACCGTCACCCTGCTGAAAATACACATCCCAGTACAGTTACACAATGAGTGACCCTCACACTGCTGAATAAACACATCCCATTACATTTACTCAGTGAGTGACCCTCACCCTGCCGAATAAACACATCCCAGTGCAGTTACACAGTAAGTAGCCCTCACCCTGCGGAATAAACACATCCTAGTACAGTTACACAGTGAGTGACTGTTACCCTGCTGAATAAATATATTTCAGTACAGTTACACAGTGAGTAATCGTCACCCTGCTGAATAATCACATCCCAATACATTTACACAGTGAGTGTTCCTGCCGAGGTAACATTACTTAAATTCGGGTTTCACTAGGGTGTGTAAAATCCTGAGAAGGAATTGTCAGTTTCTTTACCTGAGTCCTGAGCAGGTGCTTGCAGAGACCTGGGATCCAGGAAATCTTCTCATAGATCCCACATAGTAACAGCGATACTGTAGAAAGATGGGCACATCTCTATATTAAACCTCCTCACACTGACAATATCACAAGAGATCACACTGACCACAATTCTGCTCTGTGTTAAATGGACCATCTTTGCGGTGCAGTAAAGCCACTGAACCAATGTCAGAGAATTGAGACAGTGGTTGCTGGTTGAATAAGCTGGGAGCGAGATACAATTAGGGTGACAAAGCACGCCAAAGTTAATTGTCAGAGGGTGCTAATTATCATCATCTACCCAGAGCTATGCTCCACAAATGTGAGATCAAGTCATTGAGTCATACAACATGGAAACAGACCCTTCAATCCAACTCGTCCAATGAATCAAAGGATTGTTCGCATTTCTGTTCAGATAATCATTTACAGTCCTCTTGAATGCCTCAGTTGAACTTGCCTCCAACACATTTCCACACAGTGAATTCCAAAATCACTTGCTGCTTCAAACTATTTTTCTCTCACTGTGCATTTGCTACTTTTGTAAGACATTTCAAAATTGTGTGTTCTGGTTTTAATCCTTTCACAAGGGAGAAGGACTTCTCACTATCTACTCTATCTGGACCTCCCACGATGTGAAAAATTCCTCCCATGGAAAGCAATTCAAATATCTCCAATCTTTACCCCATTGCTGAAGTGTCCCATCCTGGTCACTATGATGAGTAGCAAATATCATTCACACAACACAAGTACTAGGTAATGACCATTCCCAACAAGAGAGAATTCAATCATCATCCCTTGGCATTCAATGGTGTTACCATCACTGAATCCCCCACTCTCAACATCCTGGGGGTTACCATTGACCAGACACTGACCCGGATATGCCACATAAACACAGTGGCTCTCAGAGCCAGTCAGAGACTAGGAATACTGCAACAAGTAACTCATCTGAGTCTCCAAAGACTGTCCACCATCTACAAGGCACAAGTCAGGAGTGTGATGGAATACTCCCCACTTGCCCGGGTGGGTGCAGCCCCAACAACACTCAAAAAGCTTGACACCATCCAGGTCAAAGCAGCCCGCTTGATTGGCACCACATCCACAAGCATCCTCTCCCTCCACCACCGATGCTCAGTAACAGCAGTGTGTACTATCTACAAGATGCACTGCAGAAATTCACCAAAGATTCTTAGACAGCCACTTCTGTCTCGACCAAGGGCAGCAGATATACGGGAACACCGCCCCCCTGCAAGTTCCCCTTCAAGCCACTCATCATCCTGAATTAGAAATATATCACTGTTCTTTCACTGTTGCTGGGTCAAGATACTGGAATTCTCTCCCCAACAGCATTGTTGTTGACTCTACACCCCAAGGACTGTACCTTCTCCAGGACTGTTAGGGATGGACAATAAATTCTGGCATAGCCAGTTATGCTCACATTCTGTGAATGAATAAATAAAAGTCCTCAATATTGGTACCTGTTGCACTCCAGTCATTATGTCTTGCCAACCTAAAAATGATCCATTTATGCCTTCTGATATTCAACTAATCTCCTATCGATACCAACATGTTACTCCTGAAAGAATAAGTTTTTTTTGACATGAATCGAAAGAGGGGATGATTTGATTTCCCCACAATCCAATGCCAATTAAGATCCAAGTGGCTGATGATGGTCCCTCTGCTGCTCCTGCGTGTTGGTGGTGGAGGGGGAATGTTGAAAGTGGTTGATGAGGCACCAATAAAACAGGCTGCTTTATCCCAGATGATGATGCACAATAAGCTCTGGTTATGTCTGAGCTGCAACCCTCCAGGAAAACCCCAGCTCTTATCTTTCCAAGCAAAAGCCAAAACGTTGTGATGCCAATAACCTATGCACCGGACGGCTGAGGTAGAAATAGCAGGAACAGGAAAGAGAAACAAAGATTGACAGTTATCCCTTTAAAAATTAATGCATTCTCACCATTCCACTGTCTGTCTCTGTCACCAGAGTCCCATTGGAATCATAGTGCGACACCTGGAACCCTCTGGGCAAGAGGAATCTGTGGGAAAAAACAGAACGAAAGTGAACGGCACACTGCTCTGTTGATGAAAAATATGTACTTTCTGAGATATATTAATAATCTGTGTCTTGAAGTTCAGGCTTGCAGATGATACTAAACTTGGAAGAATTGTAAACTGTGAGTAGGATACTCCAAAAGGACATTAACAAGTTGAAGTGGGGTGTAAGTGGCAGACGAAGTTCAATGCATAAAACTGTGAGGTGAAGCACTTTAGTTGGGAGAACATTGAAAGACAATATAAAATGGGGGTGAGTACAATTCTAAATGAGATGCAGGAGCAGAGGGAGCTGGGTGTCTCTGTGCAGAGATCATTGAAGGCAGCAAGACAGGTGGAGAGAGCAGTTAATAAAACACACACACTATCCTTAACCTTGTTAACAGAGACATAGAGTACAAGAGAAAGGAGGTGATTTTGAACTTGTATGAGATACTTGTTAGACCTCAGCTGGAGTACTGTGTACAGTTGTGGGCACGACAATATAAGAAAGATGAGAACGTACTGGAGGGAGAGTACAGAAGAGACTTACACAAATGGTTCCAAGAATGAGAAGCTTCAGGCACGAGGATAGCTTGAAGAAGTTGGAACTGCTCTCCTTGGAGAGAAGAAGGCTGAGGGGGAAATCTGACAGAGGTTTTCAAAATCATGAGCGGGGCGGGACAGATTACAGAGGGAGAAATTGTTCCTGCTTGAAAAAGCAACAAGAACTGGAGGACATGCATTTAAAGCGGTTTTCATGCGAAGGAAGGTTCACATAAGGAAAACATTTCCTTAAGGATCAGCAAGGTTGCCTAAGTGTGGAGATGGAGTAGACGCTAAATGAGTATTTTGCATCAGTGTTTACTGTAGAGAAGGATGTGGAAGCTAGAGAACTTGGGGTAATAAATAGCAACGTCTTGAAAAATGTCCATATTTCATGGAGGAGGTACTGGATGTCTTAAAATGCGAAAAGGTGGATAAATCCCTGGGACCTGATCAGGTGTACACAAGAACTCTTTGGGAAGTTAGGGAAGTGAGTGCTGGAAATCTTGCTGAGATTGTTGTATCATTAATAGCCACAGGTGAGGTGCCAGAAGACTAGATGTTGGCTAATGTGGTGCCACTATTTAAGACAAGTGCTATGGAGAAGTTAGGGAACTATAGACAGATGAACCTAACATCGGTGGTGGGCAAGTTGTTGGAGGGAATCCAGAAGGACAGGATTTACACATATTTGGAAAGGCAAGAACAGATTACGGATAGTCAACGTAGCCTTATGCTTGGGAAATCATGCCTCACTAACTTGCTTGAAGTTTTTTGAAGAAGTAACAAAAAGGATTCACGAAGGCAGAGTGGTGGACTTGATCTATACAGTCCACAGTAAGGCGGTTGACAAGGTTCCTCATGGTACAATGGTTAGCAAGATTAGATCACACAGAATACAGGGCAAACTTGCTGTTTGGAAATAGAACTGGCTCGAAGATAGGAGACAGAGGGTGGTGGTGGAGGATTGCCTTTCAGACTGCAGGCCTGTGACCAGCAATGTGCCACAGGGATTGGCGCCATGTCTACTGCTTTTTGTCATTTATATAAATGATTTGGATGTGAACATAGGAAGTATGGTTTGTAAGTTTGCAGGTGACACTAAAATTGGTGGTGTAGTGCGCCGTGAAGAAGGTTACATCAGAGTACAACGGGACATTGATCAGATGGGCCAATGTGTCAGGGAATGGCAGATGGAGAATAATTTAGATAAATGTGCGGTGCTGCATTTTGGAAAGGCAACACAAGACAGGACTTAATGCTAAGGTCCTGGGCAGAGTTGCTGAACAAAGGGGCCTTGGATTGCAGGTTCATAGTTCCTTGAAAGTGGAGTTGCAGGTAAATAGGGTAGTGAAGAAGGGTTTTCGTATGCATGCCTTTATTAGCCAGTATATTGAGTGTAGGAGTTGGGAGGTCATGTTGCAGCTATACAGGACATTGGTTAGGCCACTTTTGGAATACTGCATGCAATTCTGGATTCCCTGCTTTGGCAAAGACATTGTGGAACTTGAAAAGGTTCAGAAAAGATTCACAAAGATGTTGCCAGGGTTGGAGGGTTTGAGCTATAGGAAGAGGCTGATTAGGCTGCGGCTATTTTCCCTGGAGCATTGGAGACTGAGGGGTGACCTTACAGAAGTTTATAAAATCATGAGGGGCATGGGCAGAGTGAATAGCCAAGGTCTTTTCCCCAGTGTAGAGGAGTCCAAAGCTACACGGCATAGAGTCTAGGGAGGATATTCCTGATGGTGGGTGTGTCCAGGATGAGGGATCACAGTCTAAGATCATTGAGGGTAGACAGAGATGTAAGACAGAGATGAGGAGACATTTCTTCACCCAAAGAGTGGTGAGCCTGTGGAATTCATTAACACAGGAAGTAGTTGATGCCAAAACATTGAACATATTCAAGTAGTGGCTAGATATAGTACTTGGGGCGAATGGGATCAAAGGTTATGGGGAGAAAACAGGGTTAGGCTATTGAGCTGGATGATCAGCCATGATCGTGATGAATGGTGGAGCAGGCTCGAAGGGCTGAATGGCCTCCTCCTGCACCTATCCTCTATATCTCTATGAGTCATAGAGATATACAGCATGAGAATAGACCCTTCGGTCCAACTAGGCCATGCAGACTAGCTATCCTAAATAAATCTAGTCCCACTTGCCAGCATTTGGCCCATATTCCTCTAAACCCTTCCTATTCGTATACCCATCCAGATGCCTTTTAAATGTTGTAATTGTACCAGCCTCCACCACTTCCTCTGGTAGATCATTCCACACACGCAACACCTCTGCGTGAAAACATTGCCCCCTTGGTCGCTTTTAAATCTTTCCCCTCTCACCTTAAACCTATGCCTTCTAGTTTTGCACTCCCCCGCCCTGGGGAAAAGTCCTTGTCTATTTACCCTATCCATGCCCCTCATGATTTTATAAACCTCTTAAAGAGAGTATGAAGGCAGTACGAGTACACTTAAGAGGGAAATCAGGAGAGAAAGTAGGAGACATGAGATAGCTTCAGCCTCTGACACTTCAAGGAAAATAGCCCCAACCTCTTTGTATACCTCAAACTGACCAGCATCCTTGTAAATTTTTTCTGAACCCTTTTAAGTATCACAACATCCTTCCTATAGTAGGAAGAGCAGAATTGCATACAGCATTCCACAAGTGGCCTAACCAATGTTCTGTACAGATACAACATGACCTCCTGACTCCCATGCTCAATGCACTGACCAATAAAGGCAAGCATGCCAAACCGCTTCTTCACTATCCTATCTATCTGTGACTTTTATTATTATTTATTTATTTCTCCGCATTCTCTATCTTCCATATCCTTCTCCACAGTAAACACTGATGCAAAACAATGGTTTAGTATCTCCCCCATCTCCTGCTCTTCCATACATAGGCAGCTTTGCTGATCTTTAAGGCTTCCCATTGTCTCCCTAGTTTCCTTTTTTCCTTAATGTATTTGTAGAATCCCTTTGGATTCTCTTCAACTCGCTTTGTCAAACGTAACTCATGCCCCCTTTTTGCCCTCCTCATTTCCCTTTTAAGTATACTCCTACTGTCTTCCTCCTCTTCTAGGGATTCACTCGATCTCTGTTGTCTATAGGGTTAGAGGGATATGGGCCAAATGTTGGAAAAAGGGACTAGATTAATTTAGGATATCTAGTCGGCATGGATGAGTTGGACCAAAGGGTCTGTTTCTGTGCTGTACATCCATACGACTCTATGACACAGCAAGTAGTTTGGGTACAGAATATAATGTCTGAAAATGTGGTAGAGGCATTCAAGAGGACATTGGATTGTTATTTGGATGAAAATAATGCGCAAGAGGGTGGGGAGAAAGCACAATTTTGGCTGTAGATCCTGCTACTCATACAATGAGCAGACATCAATGGCCTCTTTTTGCACTCCAGGAATTCTGATTCTGTGGCCCTAAAGCCCACATCATCCTGTCTCAGAAATATATCACTGTTCCTTCAGTGTCACTGTGTGAAAATCCTGGAATTCCCTCCCTAAGGGCATTATGTGGGAATCCTATTCAGCATAGAATGACCACCTTCTCCTGAGCAATGAGGGACAGGTAATAAACTCTGGCCCAGCCAGTGACCCCACAGCCTGTGAAAGAATAAAGAAAGCGAAACAGCAGAATGCTGCTGAGTTATCAATAGAAAAATTACTTGATGCCAAACCAAGTCTTCATGTACCTCGAGCAGAGCAATCTTCTCCATAAGATTTTAATCTTCGAAAGAACAACAATCATTCTCAGATTGTTAGTCTTCCATTTTGAAAACACGTCTTTTGGAACATGCATATAAAGATACAAGTTGGGTGACTGAGTACTATTTTTATCACTTGTAGTTTGTAGTGTCTTATTTTTCAAGGATATAACTAGTTGATAAGGGAGGGCTCATGCATGTGGTTTACTTGGACTTGCTGAAGGCTCACAAAAAAGAAATGTATGTAAACTTAGAGTTCATGGATTGGGAGCAGTGGCATACCGCATGGAAACAGGCCCTTTGGCTAGTCTGCTGACATGGATAGAGAAGTGGTTGGCAAGCAGATCACTTTTGGGTCATTTTCTAAGTGGCAGCCTGTGACTATTGGAGAACTGCAGGGATCAGTGCTATTCACAATATATATTAATGATTTAGATGAGGGAACAAAATGTAATTTCTCTAGTTTGCAGATGACACAAAGCTGGTTGGGAGATAAGCTGCGGGGAGGATACAGAGGTGCTTCCGCGAGATTCACACAAGTTGAGTGAATGGGTAAATGCATGGCAGATGCAGTAAAATGTGGATAAATGTCAGGTTATCCCCTTTGGTAACAAAAACAGAGAGGCAGATTATAGGGCAGGACAATTAATGGTAGGGTCCTGGGGAGTGTTGTCAAAAAGAAAAACCTGGGGGAGCAGGTACATTGTTCCTTGAAAGTGGTGTCACAGGTAGACAGGGTGGAGAAG